GGGGGCTGCCCCTCCAACACCCATGAGATGGGTGACCTTGCCTGGGTGGGCCACAGGAGGCCCCGGAGAGCAATCAGACTGCACAGAGGCTTGGATGGAGGGCAACCCAACAGACGCTGAAGTTACAGGCAGAAAAACAGCCCATTTGGGGCTGTGCTTAATTTTTTATTTTTAACACTGTGTACTTCTTTTTCTTGTTGCTAATAAACTGGCATTAAGGTTGGTGTCCCTCGAGTGCCTGCAGTTCTTAAGCTTTTAGCTCTGGGATACAGATTGCCTTGTGCCACAAGCACTGCAGTAAATCCCACACTGCTAACCTTCAGTCACTAATGGGGCACAAATCCATGGCGCAGAACAGCTCAAAACTCTTTATTTAGATTTCCTCTTGCAATGCCTTCTGTTCAGCAAAAATGGATCCTTGTGAGGAATATTAATAAAAAATCTTTATAAAATAAAAGCAAAAGAAAGATACATATTAAAAATCAAATTTTCAGAACCAAAGGTAGTCTGACCAGGATGGATAACCTGTGTCAGGGAGAGATTTAGCAGCTTGGTGCAAGTGGAATCAGAGTGCTAAAAGAAACAGAGAGGTGGAAAATCTTTCCATTCTAACAGGTGAATAACCAAAATAGTCATAACCACCCTATAGAGGCATATCGTAGCAGGCTGCAGAAAAAAATACGGCATATTCAGATGTAAATTATAGTTGTATACGCTTCACTGATTGCTTCATAAAGTAAAACGGCAGATATTTAGATTTCAGCTCAGTTCCGCATATGTCTTGGGAAGGAATTTTTTTAGGCAAAAGGCATGAGATCGCACTGCCCTAATAATAGGAAAATGTGTAGAAGCGGAGCGTAGCTTGGCAGAGCGGCTGGCTTCAGCAGCAGCAGGCAGGGCTTTCCAGCGCTTGCACTTCACTTTCTGCAGCACAAGGTGCTATGGTGCACTTCAGAGGTCGCCAGCATGTTCAGAACTAAAACCAGACGTAAGCACTGTTATCACAGACTAGAAACTGGCAATAGAAAATTCACCAAAACCTGCATTCTGCAGCTGTTTATGTTTTTCATTGCCCAGTGCTCATTTTATAGGTATTACTTGGCCTTTTCTGTGGACCCATAACTTACACTTTCCAAAAAAAGAGCAAGTTTTTTGCAATTCCATCAAGAACTTGTAGAGGAATTCTAGATTCCCCCATCTTTCTAATGGGAATCTGTCCCAGACATTGTTTTACTGGACCATAAAATTAAGACTGTCTAGTAATGGCATGTTGAGGCCCTGGCTGGGAGGAGCGGGGGTAGTGTGTGAGCTGTGCAGTGCCTTTCAGCAAGTTCCCACTCGAGAGCCACGCACGCACCATAGAGGGTACAAATAGAAAGCAAACACAAATGAGATATCCAGAAAGGGAATATGTTTTGCATCATGGCATAGTGGCTCCATAAGCATGTTCTCTGATTACCCCCTGTTCCGGGCAGGCATCTCCTATTTTCGCACGTGAACTCACGCTCTAGTCTTTCACCTGAAACTACACTCAATGGTTAGCGCCATGTTTATATTTACATCTATGTGCCATAAACCCTAAAGGACTATAACATTACAAGAAATATTTGCCACACCATTGGCAGCAGTAACTGAGCGAAGAATTGCCAAGTGGGAAATCCGAATTTGCAAACTCAGTATTCTGGGCTGCGCGCCAATACTGTCTGGGCGCTGCGGAGGTGACACATTCAGTCTCCTCACAGGGATGCCAACGTGCCAACTGCATCCCTGGCACAGCATCTTCTCCTGACAAACTTATGGAGAAGAACTGCTACCAAGTCCAGAGGGAGATGCAAGCTGCTTTCTGAGCTTCCTTGGCAGCAACTCCATTTTCGAGTTGTGACTGTACTTTCTCCTATTTACAAGAACAGTTGTTTGTGATATGCTGTGATCTCTGGTAGGATTTTGAAAAGTGCAAAAATGACAGCAGGACATTGGTTTCCAAGTATAAACTAGTAAAATCCAGAGTAATTTCATTTCCCTAAAAAAAAAAATAATGTAGATACTCACTTACAGCAGCCCAGATATCAGATGTTGCAGCCAGTATTGGACAATGCAAATCTGTTTGTTAGCTGCCAAGTGAAAGACATGATCCTTAGTATATGAAGGTTGTAGGGCTGATCTCGAAAGTTTCCCTTTTTCAAATCATACTCAAATCATACTCCGTGTCTATTGTCTCACACCTAAACTTCTTTTCTGTCTGTCAGTAATTTTTCAAAGCAAAAAAAAGAAATTGAAAAATCCTCCAGTCTTCCACAGGGCTGCATGACCTATAACTTGCAAAATCCATTAGGAGACAGCCTTTTAGTAACCAAATTGTGTCATTTACAATTGCACAGCAGCCAGAAAGAGCACTATAAATTACAATTCTGTCACTGTAAGGGACAAAGGAAAGGTGTGGGCAGGCTATTGCTATAAAGGAGGAAATATAGGAGAGTGATAGAATTTCAATATTTTTTGCTGAATGTACTTCATATAATAGCAAAATTGGTACTTACAGGTTAGTTATTTTTCTGGCTGTATATGAAAGACTTAGTAAGACTATAGAAGATTGTTTATTTTTAAGGTGTAGCAGAACAGAAATGCTGAATTCAAACCTTTTGTGGGTTTTTTTTCTTCTTTATACATTGAGTAAAAAAGCATGTAAAAATTTGCTTAGCATTTTTAGTTAAAATTTTTCATATTATTTAATAATTCAGAAATAGGGTTCTTCTTGATATTCGTTTGAAAAATTATCTGCTGTTGAGGCTTGAGCAATGAATGGTGGCTGGGAAACTGGTGAAGTAGTATCATCATGGAGAGAAAAGCAAAGACCATCACTCAGATGCTGTGGTTTTATGTGGTTACTCTTTCTCTTTAATGGGCAGTCAATTATTCAGAGAAAGGTTGTCTTGTTAAAAATTCTCAACATTCATTTTTTCCCTAAAGTATAAAAACTAACAGCCTGCATTCCCGAGTACTTCCAATAGGTTTTGCAGGGAACCTAGAGCTGGTATTCTTAAGGATATTTCTAAAGAAAAAAAAGAAAAATCCAATTCTGAGGTCTTTTTACAACTCTCCTTACAACTTTCAAACCCTGTTATACGTGTATCATAAAGAAATTACACAAAGAATAGAAGTCCAATTTAAAAAAAAATGCAGGCTACTTAAAGTATCTGTAAAATTATCTCAGAAATTAATATTTCCGCTTTATGTTTCCACCAAACTGAAATGGGACAGTGAAGCTAACTAGCTGAGCAATTGCTACTGGAAAAATCAAATACATAAGAGGAAATGCAGTTAACACAATATTTCACATATGTTAATGCTTACAGTTCCATCAGTGTCAGCTTTATTTTCTACTTGATATACACCAAAGCTGGCACACAATTTTAACTGATGAGGTAATGTCATTTTTAATTTAAGGAGACTTAAGCCGTCCACTTTAACTAGTGATATCATCTTTGCAGTTGTCTCACGGGGCTTCATGTAAACATAAGTAATGTGCCCTGGATGGTTTGGAGCAGGGTTGTTAAAAATGACATTGGTCATCATGAAGACATTTTTTTCCTTTGATCTCTTTAAAAATGTCAGGCACACTTTATTGTCCTGTCACTTTTAACTCTTCCTTGTATATTAACATGCTCGGAACATTTCAGTGAACGTAACAGTAGAATAAAGGTCTAAACAAATTAATGGAAACATTTTAATGTCAGTTGTAGTAGGATAATGAAAAGTAAATGGGATTGTCTGGCTAACAGCAACTTGTTAAATAAAACGGCAGCACAGCTGAGATACAAAGATGCAAGGGCAGAGAAAAGCCTTCCGCTGCCCTCCGGAGCACACTCCGGGCTCCAAATGCCACCACCTTCTAGGAGAAGATTAAACCAATTCTACAAATCGTGTCTACTCCTCCTTCCCGTCCGGGGTCGAGTGAAATCATCTGCTAATAAAACTTAAAAGCAGACTTGTCTCCGCACCTGCAGTGTCTGCCTCCCTGTGGCTTTTATTCTCGTTTGTATTCTCGCGGCTGGTTGGTGCACCAAGGTGCCGGGCTCTCCTCCGCCCTCTGAAACCAAATCTGCCAGAACAAGCCCGACCTACTGGCAGCTCTGGCCACAGGGCTGAGGAACCCTAACATGACTGCCGCTCACAGGCAAACCTTTACTACCAGTCATTATTGCATTATTATATGCTTTCTTTTATAAAATCCTTAGGAACCAAGCAAGTACCCAGGGGAGGATTTAGGCCAGCCTGTTCAGTAATCACATGCTCTACAAGTATGAATATTATAACGTGCACTTCTTGATGCAAATACCTAAGCCAAGATGATCTGTAATGAAACAAGTTTTGTCTGAGAAAAAACAAGTGCTGTGACAGACGAGTGGATTTTGTGATTTGCTCAAAACTATTTGTCCAGCTAACAAGGAAAATAACAGATTTTCCTACCACCGATCTGCAACACGGTGGAGTTTTGAACAAAATCTAATGTTTAGGGATTTATTTATTATTCTGTGGACATATGTTTGGAGGACAGCATATGGAAATCAAAGTATTGTTCATAAAGAGCTCCAGCCAAAAAGACATTTTTGAATTCATAACAGAACTTCACAGTTTGAAAAGAATGCTATGCATTATGTATTGATAACAACACTACACAGACAAAGGAACACAATTTAATAATACAGAATTGTGCTCATGAGATTTCCTTTTTTTTTTGTTAATTGGTTACTTTAGCTGACATTGTCTGCAAGCATAATGGACACCATTCTTCCTAATAGTTCCATGTTGCCAGATGATGTCTACAGACATAATGTAGTCCATTTTAATTATTTCATTTTGCTTACATCTTTCAGCATAATGCATTTTCCAAGCAAGCTAGCATTTTTCTTGATTATCTATGTTGTGTTATGGTTTCTAAATTAATTAGATCTCCTTCTTTCCTGGAAGTTAAAAGTTTCTTCCTTCCATTTATCTACCAGGTATGATTATGTTGAAGTGATTGATGGAGATAATGCTGAAGGACGCTTATGGGGAAAGTACTGTGGAAAAATTGCTCCCCCTCCTTTAGTGTCTTCGGGACCATATCTTTTTATTAAATTTGTTTCCGACTATGAGACACATGGAGCAGGATTTTCTATCCGTTACGAAGTTTTCAAAAGAGGTGAGAAACAATTCATTGTTATATAGCTCATAACCTGTGATTTTTGCTTTCATCAAAAAGTTCAGCTTAGTTCTTTGGGATGAGGGGAATACATGAAAATGCTTGAAAAAGAAAATGATATTACCCATGTCATTCTAAGGTGGGACATGTATTCAATGGGTGTAAATCATTATGAATCAAATGGGTCAGCTGCATCTGAGGATTGACTCCTCTGGGTGTAATGTGATAGTCTTCATCAGCTGTTTGTTTCAACCTTCCTAAAACCATTAGCTTTCTTCCTTTTTTTTTTTTTCTTTCTGTGATAATAATTACTGTATGATTTACAATGTTACTGCCTTAACAGCCCTGTAACCTTCTGAGTCTCTGACTTATTTTGGTTAGTGTTTTGTTCTGCGTTCCCAAGAGGTGGCTGTGGGCTCAGAAAGGACCAGAGTACACATGGGCAGCAGATGATGTTGCTGTTGCTTTCACAAATCATGTTTGGGAGGTAAAGGAGAGGAGAAGCTCACACAGTCATGACCTGCTGGATGCTTGTGCCAGGAATTCGGTTCCAGTGAGCACAGATAGCTGTATGCGGTACAGAGAAAGCCCAGAGGAACAAACAGTCCAGAATTAACCAGACCTATGGACAGTCCCTCTTTGATAACTGTCTTTCTGAGTCAAGAGCTAGAAGGGGAGTAAGATCATTTTTTTGGGCATACACCTTCCCTATAGCTGGATGGAGATAAATAATTCCTATATTCCATACCTGGACAATACAGGACCAAAACTCATCATACATAAAAAGACAATAAGCTTAACTTTATAGAAAAAAATACTGACTTCAACATTGATGTTTAGGGTCATATTTACAGAAGCAGCTCAAAACTCCAGATTTCCAATGCACACCACTCCCAGAGAGTGCCCCATTTTCAGAACCAGTTCAAGTTCCTTTTATGCACCTAAACCAGAGCCAGATTTTCAGCTGCGTTCAGCACACGCGCTTGGTGGCAGCTGTACTGTTAATGAGGAGAAGCACAGTAGTGAAGTCTCTTTTCTATTGCATGCTATTGCTGCTCTGCACAGTGCTAATTGGGGCCACAGACCTCTTGTTCACCATCTTCCCTCTCTGTAAATCCACTCTTGGCTCCCAGAAATTCTTCTGATGACCTTCAGGGTCACATTTTTTGAAAGAACTCCGCATCCAAATGACACCAAGCTTCCCTGAAAAAATATCTCTATTTATTTTGGTGTCTTTAGGAGGCTAAACTCTTGAGACTGTGTCCTGGAGTTTCTCAGTGCTTATATATACACTACCATCTTTCGTAAAGAACAAGGCTGAAACACAAGAACAAGTGAAAGAATGACCTGTGAAAAAATCTATTTGAACAACTGAGCATTTTCAAGAAAAAAGCTTTTATTTATTTCCTAATAGTGTAGTGGCAACTCAGAGCTCTGACAGGAATGCTGTGTTTATTTCCTTGTGTGGTCATTTACATCTCTCAGTGATACCCATTAACCATGTTAAGATGGCATTATGAATGTGATTTTACACGCACAGAAGTCAGGAAACTGAAAATTATGGCTCCCAGAGCAACTTTAACTCTAGTTCATTCCATATAAACTGTATATTAATGCAGGAAAGTTATCACCAGGTACAGTGTTAGAAATGCTGTGTGTACACAAAGGATACAAGTTATAGTTGCTGTGGGAACCCAGCCCTTTTTAACTTTTGAGTTAATGCATATATGCTATTCCAAATTTACATTTTAATTTCTGTACCAAATAAAGCTGACTAGTTTACCCTGTTACACAGGTGAAACTTAGTTGCTTGCACCAGGCTCATATGCTTCATTTTAGCATATTCACAACCAAGCTCATCATTTTGCAGGTATGAGAAGTATGAAAATGATCCCAAGCCCAAGGTCCTGTGGTGCTGACCTGAAGGCTGATCTGCATTCCAGCACGCAGTATATTTTTGCCCATTATTCCTGTAAGAGCATCCTTAGTTTTTGAAAAGAAAAACCGCATTACGCTACCAGTGTCCTAAGCCAAATTCTAAACCTGGTGCTAAAAATGTCACACACCATGGAAATGGTAAGGAGAGACCAGCACACATGACTACTGTGATAAACGTACTATGGGCTTTGAGAGTAGGAGCTGCTTTTACTTCTCATCCAGTGCCTTAGCCAGAAAGATACTGAAGTTGAGATCCAGAAAAAAACATGAAACCCATGTTGCCCAGCATTTAGCCCATCTGAAATGTTCATTATTTTGGCTCCAACAGCAAGCCTATTTTAGGAAGGATGAGTAGCCTATTCACTAGATGAGGATCTATACGGTTCACATTCAACATTCATAACTTTGGTCAGCTAAATTTATGGTGTAAACTGAAAGAAAAGACAGTGTCCCCCAGGAAGGCAACTGATTTTCTGGCCAGTGACACCTGCAGAAAGCAAGTGAAATTATCTCCGGTGTCATCTTTCTCTTTCTTTGCTCTCTCTTTTGCCTCCTTTCTCTCTTTCCTTCAGCTCAACTCTCTTCCTTTATTTCATACACATGCACACATACAGTTTCTCCACCTCAGAAATATCTACTCTGTCCAGTCTCTGCTAGAATCTTTTCTGCCAGTTTTCCGTGAACATCACGCCATGGTGTTCCTCATAGCCTCAGTGTTGATTTAATTCCTGGAGTTCCTTCACAGTGTCAATAAAGGGTCAGAATCTGTGAAGGGCACTTCAGTGAGGCAGCTCTTCTGAAAACAGTTTTTGTTTCTTGCACCAGATTGACTTGAACATGTTTAAAATAAAGCAAGCTGGTACTGAGATACCATGTGTGAGTGTAAGGAGACTGACGATTGTGCACTCACGGAGCCAGGATCTGGTTGTATTTAATAAAGCAATAATGATTCTGGCTTACATTTTATATTGCATCTTTTATTGGATTCCAAAAGGAGTACAGAGCACTTTATGCTATGAATGGCATAGCAAAGCTATTTTATCCTGGAACAGCAGCTACTGGTGGGAGTGAGGAGCAACAACCAGAATATAACCCTCCTATACATGACAAGGAGACAAGGGAATGACAGGGAGAGAAGAGAAATATCCGACTAATGTGTAAGGGGGCGATTTAATTATAGGCAAAATGTAATTTCCCAAATTGGAATGGGTCAGGTTACGTGAGCATTAATATCTACATCTTCCAAAATATGCCACGAAGTGCTCTGAATATTGATGTGATAGAGCAAGCATTTTCTATCAGTGCCTGTTGAAGGACAAAAATACCTGAACTGACTAGATTCATTCAGACCTCTCTCTCACATGCTGAATTTAGCTGGGAGGTGGCCAAATCTGTGGGGGGTAATATGTTTGGCACATTCACAAGGAAAACATTTTCTATGGTGAAATAAGAGTGTTCATATATGCAACAAGCCAGACTGTTTTCCTTCAATGATCTGTGTTAAGCATTGGAAATCCTCTAAGGCTCCTGACTGCAGTCTCTCAGGATGCTGGGCATCCTCATCCAAATTGAAACCTCGCACAGACTCACCCTCCAGCACAACCTGTTGCAACCAAACTCTGTCACCTGCGCCCTGCCTATACTCCATGTCCGAAGACCTTCATCTGAGTCATCCTGACCAAACTCCGCAGGTCAGCTGCTATCCACCAGTGCCCCAAATCCTTTAAATCACTTTCCATTAAATTGGGAGTGTCAAAAGTCAGAGAGAGAAGGGTACCTATGCTGACCCTGTGGGAGGATGTGTGGGCAGTGCCTGCTGCTGGCTCTGAGCACACCTGCAGGTGTGGGATCCACAGAGGCGATTCCTGAGGGACCTAAATAAAGGCGAAATGCAATCTGTCAACAAGAGAGGGACTCCAGTTTTAGTCCCCTGTGTTCTCAAAGTCAAATCCAACTATGTAGCCTTTTATACCCTTGTATCTTTACTGCCACTTTCCTGCTTCACCAAAAGCAGTGTTTGGAGCATCCCATTATGCCATGGTGGGTACATTGGGGAAAGCTGGTGTGTCAACATTGACATTAGGTGACTTCTAGCAACACTGCCTGTAATCACACAGTTTATCATTCCTGCACTAACAGCAACATTTTACTGGTGCACCTGTGTCAACACCACTCAGAATGAGTCACTCACCCTTGGTACATGTACGAATTACCTTTCACATTTAGTTTGTCAAGGAGGCATAGGTCACATCTGGCAGAGTTACTGAGTCAGTGCTCCAGGAATCTGAAACCACTACTCCCTCTACTGAATTCACTCACCCGCTTTTGTAAAAAATTCTATTTCACCAATAAAAGCCTGTCAGCCGTAAGATTTAAAGATTTGAGCTTGAAGGGGCTATAATTATTTCTCTAGGGCTCTGTCGAGATTTCTACAGCTTACACTTTCATTGTTCCCACATGACTTTGTATTTGTCATAATTTTTTCTCGAGCTGGTACAAGTTTACATATTGTTCCATACAAATTGAAAATTGGAGATCAGACAGTATATGCGAATTGCGCTTTAAAACCTGACTATCAATAATAGGAACAAGCTGGCTGAATGATTAATACAGAGATTAAAATGAGGTGTTTCATTGAAAAGCCACCTTTGCTGCTGGAGAGACAATACGACCTAATTTGTTTTCCAGCTAACTACTTTGTTTAGTAGCATAGTGTTAACCCAGGCGGTTTTTCTCTTTCTCTTACAGGACCTGAGTGTTCCAGAAACTTTACTTCATCAAGTGGAGTGATAAAGTCCCCTGGATTCCCTGAAAAATATCCCAATAGCCTTGAATGCACTTATATTATCTTTGCACCAAAGATGTCAGAGATTATACTGGAATTTGAAAGCTTTGAGCTAGAACCCGATTCAAATACTCCAGGGGGAGCGTTCTGTCGCTATGACCGATTAGAAATCTGGGATGGATTCCCTGATGGTAAGAGAAAAATGGACTGTGATATGCATAACCATTACTCTGAAGTGGGCTGCAGAAGGCATATTCTCATTTTTTTAAATGTCATAGTAGAGAGGTCCTTGCTTGATTTATGTGAAAAGAGTTGAATTAAAGAGAAATGGGGAAAATGCTCTGTAAATTCATTCAGTAAAGCCTATCACAGCATGAATGATTTTTTTTTATGAAATATATTTAATTTTGAGCAGTTGGCTTGGCGAAAAACTCTGTGTTTAGAGGGAATGAGTGATGGGCCTCCTACGCTAAAATAAATTAAATGTGAAGCCTTATAATGGGTCCCCAAACTTTCACAGCTAACACATGAGTATTGTCCAGAAATTTCCAACAACTTGCACAAACTGGAGTTCAGGTAGTAACCCTGCAGCTTGAGGAGGAACCGGGTTACAGACCAGCTGTCAAAGCAGAGAGTTTCTTTGCCAGGGAAAACGTGGTGTCCATACAATTGACATCATAGTGACTAAATGATTACCCAGGTCAGTAAATAGTCATTGAGTTTTTCATGCAAGTGGCTTCGGTGATCAGGCACTGCAGGGTTCCTCTGCTATAGTGCTCTCTCTTCCAGCAGTATAAGCAAATCCAAAGGTTTTAGCTTAATTTGTTAATTTATAATCTCTGATTAGCTGGGCACATGTGTCAGGGTGGGTGTGTTGGGTACACTTCTGGAACTTACTTCTCTGCCATCTCAGTAATTTTCCACTTAGCTGTTGACCACACCTGACCTTGTGCAAATTCACTAAGTGCATAGCTAGATATTAGCTAAGCCTATAGAGCCAGTGAGGCCTCGTTTCACCCTCTGCCCAATCTCATATCCCTGCTTTACGCTGAGACTGATGAACAAAACAGCTGCATTTTTTTTTTCATATATGGCAACGGGTCTGCAAGATCCAAGTCCCCTCCAGGTAGGGCAGCCATGTACCAGTTCTCCAAGGACCCCAGCTCGATAAGCTGCAGCTCCAGCCTAAAAGGGACTGTTCAAGCTGAGTGCCTAACCTTTAGGGTGCCCAGATGCCTATACGAATTGGGCAAACAGCTATGGAAAACTGATTGTTTGTGATGCCTTTTTCACTGTTTCTATGTGTGGCATAAGCTGGTAAAGAGGAGCATCTTGAAACTGTCCTTTTTCTTCCTAATTTTGCAACTTGTAGAAAAATTCAACAACTGAGGGTTTATGTTGTATGTGTTGGGCACTAATTACCACTATTTCAGTTTTCCACTGGTGTGATAACCCATATTAATAGATATTTTCTTTGCTTTTATGAACAGCAGTGGCAGTTTCTGCAAACTGTTAATCCTACAATAATATTTCATTTAAATGAAAACACATAACTTAAGGAACATATCTTAATAAGACATTTAAACTTGCCTGTTTTCCTACATAAATCCCCAATATAATTTTAATTAAAGCTTTTATTGATGCTGCAGTAAATAGGTATGTGCTTTTTAACGTATATTTGTTTTTCTTTTTTGTTTTATGCTTAATGGGTTTATCGTGGCTCTTTTCAATCCACTCCAATAAATAGGGAAGAAAGAGCCATAACAGTAGCTGAAAGACTATTTAGTATTTAATGCCTCAGTTAGGAAAACCGTATTGTAACACTACAATAATGATGTCTGGAACATTTAATAATAGGTTTATTTGTATATAGGCCAAATCTTTCCAAGCTGAATTCCTGTAGAACTTGCATTTAAATTGACATGTGAAAAGATGATCCAATCAATCAATTTATGTGTAATATTACCAAAAAGAAATGCATTATTGTTAGTGTCAGAGGGTTTCAAAGCTGTAATTTCCTGGTTCAAGAAAGTGACTGAGCCATACTGAAGAGCAATTAACAGCAGGCATTATCAGCCTTCCAATTCCCTCACAAACTGTCTAAACCCCAAATGATCCTGACATCCAATAAGGGTGTTTACATGTTTGTAAATATTCCACTGCATTTGTAGATGAGAAAGAAATGTTTCCTTAGATGCAAACTATTGGAGGTTGTGGTGGTTGTAGGGGAATGTTTGCCGCATCATTTTGCTGTCGGAGGATCCTTAGCCAGCAGTCAGCCTCTCTTGTTCAGCTTAACACAACAAAGGCGGAGAGGATGTGATTGCTTTTGTGTAAACGCAGCACAGGATGAATCTCTGGGAGGAAGAAGAACTATTCCAATTGAAGAGCAAAGCTGACACAGGAAACCGCTGGTGTGACCTGGCTGCACACTGAAGATAGATAGAAACTAAAAGTTTCTGGGTATCTAAAAGAGAGTATCCAGATAACCTTGCGAAATAAATAAAAGGAGAAAGGAAGGCAAAATAAATCTGATTTGCCTGCACATGGCAGTAGTAAATTTCTGAAAAATATTAGACACTACGGTTGCCTTTGATGAAGGGGGGCTCACCTAGGGTAAGTCCTTAAGCCATTTGTCCGTTTCCCTTTAACCTGTGAAAAAATATTCTGAAGCTATGTCTACACTGTCAACTGAAATGGGGCCAAGGCATGGTTGTACGTATTTCTTAACTGCTGGCATACTCCCTTGCACTGCTTTAGTCCACATTGGTTTGTATTTTCCGAAGCAACTCCTGAACACAGTTTGGAGGACAGCAGAAGCCAGGGGTCATTCCCAACAGGCACGTTGGACATGGCCATCCTGCTTCAGAGGGAAGAGCCCTGTGGGAGCGAGCTCTCTCACACTGTCAGTCTGGTCCCAGGAACAGTCCCTGGCCACTGACCGCAGGTCTGGAGGGTGGTTGCTGGCCTGCGCTGTTTAGTAATAGAGCCATAAAAAAGGAAGCTATTTTGCTTTGTTGTACTGCATTGCTGCTCACATGCCCAATTGTGTTAGAGGTTAAAGCCCCTGTTGCACTACACTGATATAAACATGAAGTAGAAGGATTTTTTTAAATATTTGGAAAAAGATCTATATCCTTCAGTTGAAACCCCTGTTCCACAGCAACACGGTTACGGTTTGCCGGGATGATGGCAGTATTTTAATAGGACACAGAGAAGACTTTGATGGAAAATAGTTGTGGCTGCAACCAGGGCAGAATTAGATGGACAGCCCCCTGAACATGCTGTTTTCACCTGGCTCTGGAAACCAGGCATCAACGTTTGAGCCAGACCCTGTCAGTCCCTCCATGCTCAGCAGAGAACAGCACTCCACTCTGATCTGTCGCCAACATCTACTCCAGGGCACAGTTAATGGACCTCTGGATGTTCTTATCTCATTGACTGTAGTGGGAGCTATGGATCGCTAACTCAGGCGTAAACTTTAGATACCTAAGTTAGAGCAGATGAAACCCAACATAAGTGGAAAATGTTTTCATTGTAGAATTTGATCAGCTACAGTCACTAGAGATCAGCAGCAAATGACTTTGCTGTTTTCTACAGTTGTGATTTTTTTCCTTCTCCCCTCCCCCGCAAAAAAGGCAGAAAAACAAGAGAAATGTTCTCTTAAATAAATTTTCACAATGATGTTTAAAAGGATATGTCAAAATCAGTATGCTTCCATTTACATTTTGCTTCTACGCAATTGCTGTTTTCTGATGGAAAACAATTTTCTGTTAGACAATTTGCCAGCAACTATAGCAGTCATTCACAAAGACGCTAATCCTGAAATGCTCTGTCATGATCATGGAGTCCTCAGCCTACATGGCTGTCCTTTTAGTGGGCTGAATCTGGCAAGTGCTGAGTACTTGTGTCTTGATTCTGCAAAACATGTGCTTATCTTTGAAGCATGTAAGCAGTTAGATTGACTTCAAAAGGAATTTACCAAGGAGACTTATGGGTCTGAAGTTAAAAACTAGTGTAAGTGTTTTGCTGTTTCAGGAGGAGAAAGACAGGCAAAAAAAAACCTGGCATTTTGTTTCTTCATAACTGCATGCCAAGGGCACCCTGTGGGCTCTTCTTTAAAACAAAGCAATAAGTGAAACAAACCCTGTTGGAGAATATTTGGGAACTACAGATGTGTGTTGCAAATACTGTGCAGAAAAAGGACCACAGTTTGAAGGAGATAACAGGTGGAGTTAGAGCAGGAGGGTGAGTAGATCACAGAATAGAAGTATGTGGTTTTGCGTGAATAAACTAGACACCAAAAATATCTTAGCCCAAGGCACAAATATACCTCAGCCAGCCTCAGCTGAGAACAGTCCATTGATGACTTTGAAGAAAAATAGCCCACTCAAAACCAGGACTAGCCCAAGTGATGAATTGCACATATTCATCATGCAGCTCTCTTTGAAGCTCTATAGACTGTCTGCTAGGGGCTCAAAAGTAATTTAAAGAAGTTTACATATGGTTTGAGAACCGCAGGCTAAGCATTGCTGCTTTGGTCAATACCACAAGAGCTTCCACTGAATTACAGAGCAAAACAGAATGCTTTACTTCAGTCATTAACATCAGTGTAAATGAAGGTTGCTATTAATCTAGGTGTGTTTCTCCTCTGTTGCGATTGCTTTCTACACTTGTGTGAGAAGTTATTAAGATATAAGGGTATACAAAAGCTCGGTGTAGGTGACTACTGAACTGTGAGGATGGGATTCATTTTTCAGTTCTTTTCTCTTTAGCATCCTAAATTGTGTGCAAATGTTTTGTCAATAGCAATCATACTGCTGGGAAAATACTGTCCACAGCGCACCAACATACTTTTACAGACCAGCTTTAAAATTTGGTAAAATGGCTAGCTAACATAACATTTCTTTTAATATTTTAAAATGTCTGATATACCATTTTTTCTTGCTAGTGATCTGTTGAGGTTTTTTTAAATTAATTCCAAAAGCCAAGATTTCAACTGGATGTGCAAATGTGTACTTCAGTAAGTCTCAAAATTTCCTGATATGGATACTCTTTGTCCAGAAGGGCACACAGTAGAAAAAAGAACAATTAGTAAGGATAAAGTTTCTGTTTACTGTTAAACCACCAGCCATATTCTATATGTTCCATGGTCAGATCTGTAAACCTTCAAACATATGGATTAAGAGTAATCAAGGATTTATTCAAGTTCTAGAATTAGACTCTGCATTTTGGGAAAAGCTTGCAAAACAGGTTTCTTAGTTGCTCTTCCACCTTTTAACCTGAAAGTTACTCAGTTTTCCACTATATCATACTATGCCAGTGGAAAGAGGAGCCAAGGTCCCAGAAATAGCTACAGCATGGGCAGTCAGGTGAAGTAGCTGGCTCACCAAGATGACTCTGTTCTGCAGGTAACGTAGAAATGTCCTTGAGTGAGGACTCCAAGTGACTCTTATTCAGAGTAAGCCTTCCTGGGGGATGCATGCAAAGCGACATAATGGTCTACAGGTAGAGGTTGCGAAAAGCTTTCTGGGCCTAATGACTTTTCAGCACCTGCCACCCTAAAATTGCCATCTGGAACAATATATGGTCTATTATGAAAGCCCATCTCGGTTGGTAAAGAAGGGTCAGGAAGATAGTTAACAAAAATCAGTGGCATAGTCTACCTAAGCAGACAGCCGTATCAACCCTTGAATGATTGCTCAGATGGTGTTCCCCACACAGTGTTTATTTGATGTGGTGACACCTGAAACATTTGATAATTTATTTGTCATTCAAAAGTTTTCAAGACTTGAAAGCAAAAAAGGAGAACTTTGTGTTAGCTTTTTATGTAAGAAGAATAAGAATATCTATTTCATCCAATTCTGCTTAGATCAATACCGTATCAGCTCAGTAGGCTAAGGTTTACATGTGCAAAAAAATTCAATACCTTTTTGTGTCATTTTCTGCAAGTTTTTGGCTTGTGCGTCTACACAGCTAGAAAAGGGAATAGTACTGTAATAGCAGGGCCAATCTGTGGAAAGCTGAAATGCAGAATCACTGAATATGTCTTAAAAATTATAAACCAGTGAGTCATGGGGAATCTTAAAGCCTGTCTGCTTTAAACAAAGTTCTCTTCTGTTTGTCATTTCAAAGAGGCTTCCCTACAGGAAATGGGAGGAGGGAGGCTCAGAGTACCATAACATGGTGGCCTTATCCTCCTTATTTTCTTGCAGTTCAGAGTAATATCAGCAACTATCTTGTTGAAAGGCCATCATGGGAAAGAGCAGGATCAGAGCTGTTTGCACATAGAAAATGCAAAGAAAAGAAAAAAACTGCAGCATTTGGAGCGGGGGCATTATTTTCTGTTTTTAAAAAGCCACTAATGGTAACAGTCTAAAACAACTTTCACACTTCAAATAATAAAAATGTAAAGCTTTCATGATTTCTAGAAAGAAGAAGAATTCAACTCATATCCTCTGTAGCATGTTTCATTCTATCAATACTGTGTTGAACAACCCTGGTGGAAAAGGGCTCAACTGGCAGGTATTTTAAATGCCATGGGATTGCCAAAGCAACGGAAGACTGACTATGGCCAGAATATGGATAGAAAAGCACATGCTGGCAGCAAGAGCTATAACATCTGAGCTCCCTCTTTCTGGCAACTTCAGGGCCTTACAGAAATATGTAGCTTACATAATAAAGTTATTCCAAGCTGGAACTGTTTTACTTGTTGGAAAATGCCAATAAATGACTACAAAATTATGTTAGCTGAGGATTTTCATTGAACTGTGAATAATTAGGATATATAAACATTTTATATTTTAAACTGAAAGTGAAATGGACTTCCCAGAGAAATGACAAGGTGTTAATTTAAGCCTGGAAAGCCAGTGGTGTAAGCATTAGAATGATGTCTTATGATTATTTTCATGATTGACTCCATGGATGGGTTTTAGCATTATCTTTTCTTATTGTTTGTAAGCACAGATGTACCACTATTCAACAGCCTGGGGACCTATCTGTAGGGAATGCTCAAGTGCTAGAAGGCCACATATGTTGGTTGTGAATTGAGTAGCTTAATTAAGGAAAAAGATTATCTCACTGCACAGGAAATCCAGAAAAATATCAGGAACTGGTTTATACATTATTAACACTGAGACTGATCATGTGTGTGTGTTTGTGTGTGTATTCTGTGTCATGGAGATATACTTAAGAAATCCTTGCTCTTTTGAAAGGATTAAGATTTTCCTCTTGAATTCTTTTACAGTATTCTTTAATATTGAGCATATGGGCAAAAGATCCATGAGGGTGTGCTGAAAGCCTAAATAGGAGGGGTTAAAGAGTTATTGGACGTAGCCTCAATAGGGTTGCAAAAATGTTTTTCTAAGTTTGCTATAAAATTAACAGATTATCTGCAGTACTGAGCATAAATCCTGGAAGGTGCTGTTTGAATTCCTACTCCCAGAGCATCGTGTAGACTGGGTGGGTAAATCAGATGTCCTTGTCATAAATTCAATCACACTTTGGAAAATACTTCTGGTGTTTTGTACATGTAATTTTGTTTATCGTTACCCTCTCTGCACACTTTAAAGGACATTTTTTGAAATCCTGGTTCTTTATTTTTTCAGAGGTTTATGGAGTGCTATCTAGAACATTTTAGAAGTAAGATTACTAGGATAGGATAAGCAATTTAGTGTTCGCCACTAAGTTATTGATGATATTATGATTTTGAACTGTGGTAGAG